ATATTTTCATTGTTCCAAAGAATACACGTGTGCGGGGAGAAATTATGTTTAAACGCAATCTTCCAGGATTCTAGGGCTTGTTTATGAAAATTTGACAGTTTAATAGGTAACTTACTACACTTAAAGTTACAGGACAATACAAATTTAAGGCCACCACAACGTTTGAAGAATAGGTTAGGGATCCAAAACCAGGGTAACTCATTATTAGATAAACAATTCTTGATCCAGTTAATTTTGAAAGTCTGGTTAATGATATTAAAATCTAAAGCATTAAGACTTATAATTTCTTATCATAGATTTCCTTTGAACACATTCTGTCTTATTTTTCCAAATAAAGTGGAATAGCAGAGAGTTAATCATTTTAATAGTTTTTGATCAACATAAAGAGAAAAAGCAGGATAAACTAGGCATGAAATGCCCTCAGCCTTAGTCAGCAAGACTCTCCCATAAATTGTCAAGTCTCTCTGCAGCCAGCAACATAAAATCTTTTTAATGTTATCTAACCTTGGCTGAAAATTGTGATGGAGACGGTCTGAATCAGATCTGCAGATATCAACCCCTAGATATTTTACATGACGTTTAACTATAATACCATCAACAGAATTTTTATTGGAATCATGTACATATAAAATTTCACTTTTTGGGGGATTTACTACTAATCCTGAAGCTTTGGAGAAAATAATAAATCCATTGAAGGCAACAGAAACTTGTGAATCATTTTTAAGAAAAAGACAAGTATCGTCAGCTAACTGACTAATTATCAATGTATTCCCTCCAATATTTATACCTTCAATATTAGAGTGCTTTATATGCAAACTTAATAGCTCGAAAAAAATAGAAAAAGAAAAGGAGAGATGGGGCATCCCTGGCGAATACCTCGAGCCACAGAAAACCGGGGAGAAGTGCCGGAAGCTAAGGAAACAACTGTGAATACCGTTATATAAAGTAGGAATCGCGTTAATAAAGGATCTACCAAAATCAAACTGATAAAGGGCTTCAAAAACAAAGGAATGCTCAACTGTACCAAATGCATTATAAAAGTCGATAAACAAAATGAAAGCCTCTTTATTTATGTTTTCTGAATAATCTAAAATATCTATAATTAATCTAATATTGTTAGAGATATGTCTACCTTTTAAAAAAACAGATTGAGTGTTAGAAATTATGTTTGCTAAGCAAGATTTGAGCTTTTCAGCATATACAGCAGCCAGTAATTTATAATCAGAGTTCAAAAGGGTGATCGGGCGCCAATTATCCAAAATATTGGGATCTTATTAGGCTTAGGAATAAGACAAATGAAACCTTGTTTCATTGATTCTGCCAATTCACCAATGTTTAAACACTCAATAAGGGCTTCGTAAAGAAGATACTTAATAGAGTCCCAAAAGACTTAAAAAAATTCAAACTGTAAGCCATCCGGCCCTGGAGATTTATTGTGTGGCTTTCTGTTTACTATGTTATAAAGATCATCTATAGTAAAGGGTTCCTCACAAAGTTCTCTATTGTGGTCATTAATTTTAGGAATCACAGAATGAACGAGCCATTTTGCTCTCGATCTAATGAATGCGCCCCTTGCTTTCTCTAAAAATAAATCATCCAGACTGCTTTGTAAAGTATAGAAGTAGTTTGTTACTAGGGCTGTAACCAAAAACCGAGAGCTATCTAGTTAGCACTTTAAGAGATTTTTTTTAAAGAATACTTTCAAAATGCATTTTATGCACTTCAAAATAAACTGTAAACCTCTGTTATGAAAATAGCAATTACTGATATAAACAAACACAAGCACACACAGATAGATGCATGATGAGGACATGTGGTCAGCCTGAATAAATCACAGTTAAACATTGTTCATAATCTGGATGTCTGAGAACAAAAAGCACCTTTCTCATGTGAGACAAACAAACTCAGTACGTTCTTTGTTCAGCTAGCAACAGACACTCACACATGACAAAAATCATCACCACACAGTACGTCACATGACAATTTTTAGGTGTCCATGTCTGCTACGGAACTCTTCATCCTTCTTCCATCATCTGATGTCTTTTAGTGAGATAATGACACTTCAATGTCGTTTACAGGAAACCCGATTACAGTGAGCACAAGTAACCCAAATGTCCAGATTATGTTAGTGTCATACTATGACCTCCTAAAACTGATGAATGAGTTTATAAAGCAATACTGAGCTCATTTAACTTCAAACCTAAATTCACAGTACAAGGAAATAATTCACATGTTGCGTGTCATTCTGAAAGAAGAAGGTGAATGCAGAAAGGACATGATGTTTGTGGGACATCGGTTATAATCTCACTGTTTCTGTTTCTGTTTCTGAATGAGAGAACAAGCCATTATCAAACACACGTTATTAAACATGTTATTAGCGCACACTAGTAAGGATCAAATGCAGCTTGCACACAGACAATCTAGAAAGCTCAATTTATATAGGCTATAATAAGAAGCTTCTGCAGGCGTTAATGTTCAGAAAAAAACTGTAGTATCGGATATGGTGTTCAGTTGTAGAAACTATAAATGAGACTGACCATTTACTGCATATGAAGAAAAGGAATGTCAGTGTGACAATCTGTCCTGTTTTACGGTCCACTTCTATTGGGAGATAGGAAATTAAATTCCTTAATTGGAATCACTAGGTTCAGATTACAGCCCTCTTCTCGCTTGTTCACTGCAACAAAAGCTTGTTGCACTCTAGCTCTCATTGCATTGACCAGTCGACGTATACTTTGGGAGTCTTTACTGCCTTGAGGTGAGTTGAATGTTTCTATATTGCGTTTTACTTAATGTTTCTGCTCTGACATTAAATTATGCAAGTTTGTTGACAAACCTTAAATAATTTTACACTGAAAATAAGAAAATATAAGAAATCACATTTTGCATACATGAGCAAATTGCGTGGGATTAAAATCAAGAAATAAAAAAGTAAGTGTAAAGAATTAGTGCAAACCCAACTTTAACCCACTAGCCATGTGCATTGGTTTGTAGTTAAAAAAATAAATATATATATATATATTCATTATTAATTCTGAACATTTAAAAATCAAATTAGATATAGCAAATTGTGTGTTAAATCAATAAATTAATGGTAGTTGGAAGCTAATTGATTTGACCTCTTATGGTCAGCTGATCATGAATTTACTTGTTTATTTCTTTAAATGTTTCCTAAAATATAGCTGCTTTTACGTTTGCATTACATCCTCCTTGTAAGTTACTTGCAATGTACAACTTAATTTTTTTAAAGATCAGTGGAATTTATTTATTTATTTAGTACAGCCACAAAACATTTAACAAAATAAAAATACATACATTCAACAATTTAAACAAATATGTTGGCTTCATTTGTGACTGAAAAATGTAACTCATGCATTAGAATGTCCAATCTATATGTAAAAGTTCTTTGCTGTTGGTCTTAGCTGATTTAAGTTGGTCGCACAGCATGGTCAAGCTGGTTTAAGCTGTTTTAAGCAATGCAATATTTTGCAGGCAATTACTATTATAGGAATATTATGTTAGGCAACGGCAAATTTGTCTAATAATAATGAATTTACTTGTAATTGTACTTATTTGCGTGTTGCTCCTATTTAATGTGAATGAATTCAGTAGTAATCAATGACAACACATGATCAAGGTCGCCTACAGTGAACTTCCATGTCACCAGGGAGCATAAATGGAAAAAAGAAAGGCAGCATTACAAGAGTTACAAAAAGAGACACAGTGTGATTAAATCAGGCAAAATCAAATTATTCAACTAGGGACATGCAGCATGAGACATATTCCCATGACAACTGGCTATACAAACAGCATGCTATACTCATTATGGCCACAAGGTCAAAAAGTAATTTTGAGTATGTGCACCTTTGGAATGTGTAAAGGTTGTCAAATCATTGTGCATGTTAAAAATGCTGATCCAAATGGTATTTGTATGCCTTTGAAACATGCTTGTAGAGTCAAACTACATTTCCAAGCCACACTGAGACTTTTGTGCTGGAAATAAGCCACTTTATTGAGCCACGTAATTAAATTATTGAATTACACATGACAAAAAAAGTCATGTGTCACATGTACCCTGAGAAAACGCACTATGTGTAATCATTCAAACATGGACTTAATTTAAATCACATGACACAACTGTATCATGTGGTCTAAAGTTTTATGTTTCGTCCTTTACTCTACAGGATGGCGCTACCTGATTATCCTATTCCAGAACTGGATGTCACGCTCCAGGAGGCTAGCCGCGTGCTTCAGCTCACCTTAAATCCTGACCAATACCTACACTATAAAACTGCCCTTCTTCAGCAGAAAGATGCACTCCAGGAAGTCCAAGAACAGCTGAAGAAACACGTCTCTGGACGTGAGAACTGGGTGACTGAGGAATTCAAAAAGCGGCTGCTCTCCTGCTACGATCCCCTGCCCAATTCCACTGCTGTTCCTTCTGTCCTGCCCTCCTCTAAGCTGAAGGGAGAGTTTGCACAGATAGAGCGAGCTACAGCCCTGCTTTGGGCAGCTGCTAAGCTGTACAGTGAACCACGGCTGGTAGAAGGGGATATACCAACTGAGCGAACACAACAGTCGCATGTTTTTGCGGCTAGTCGCCTACCAGGCAAGAGCCAGGATGAACTAAAGGTAAAGCTTTGGTTCCATTATTTTTTTTACATCT